GGGATAAAAAAATTTTTTTGTGAAAATTTTTTTTACCTTCCGTTAAATCCCGTTATTCTTCGTATTAAGGAATTTGCGATTACGATGCTGTAAATCATGAAAATTTACGAAAAGACCTTTGATCGTAAAAAGAGGCTGTAACGAGTCAAGCTTACACGGGGAGTCTGTTTTTTAAGAGGGTATTCATTAACAGTCAACCAAATGGAAGAGCCCGAGCGATCTTATCGGATCCTGTAATTAAGGTCATTTACGTTGAATAATCGGCCACCCGATATAGCTTAAATTTTAATATCCCACGTTCTATTAAATTTAACGAATAAAGATGCAAGTTTTTATGTCGATGAATTATTATTATTATGTATGGTCTTATCTGATAACAGCATTCCGCTATCGATACGTTAATATAGTTCAATTTAATTTCAATCGTTAAATGATTTTCATATATGTAATCCATTACTATATCACGTACCTACGTATACGATAATCCCAATGGGATCTCTTATCAATTATTTTTTTATAACATACGGATCCAATATTTTTTACCATTATAGCAGACAGTTAAGCCAATTCAGTATCAGATGAACAATGGGCACTGATAGATGATGAATTTCGAATTTCACGAGATATCTGGTCAAATGATGTCAATTTTCGAAATTACGTAATCCACCGTGTTTAATTTTTTATCTATCTATGCATACACGTTTTCATAATTTACCATGAATCTTTCCTAATCTTTTGTAACACGTTGCTTCGTTATATACCTATATGATTGTATATCAATATTTTTGATAGCACGTGTTTATATATATGTATATATATATATATATATATATGTAGCTTTAAATGGTTTGTATGACGTCACACGTTGCTTCGTTATATACCTATATGATTGTATATCAATATTTTTGATAGCACGTGTTTATATATATGTATATATATATATATATATATATGTAGCTTTAAATGGTTTGTATGACGTCAAGTTATGCATATGTCAAAAATTCAATCATTCGTGTACACAGTACATATATATATATGGAAAGTCGAGCTACATATGTAGGATAATTGAATTTACGGGTAGCGTAGAGCGTCGTAGTTTCGATGCCACTTCCTCGCATCTCTGTTCTCCTGGTACAACGGTGGAGCGCCGCAGCGCCACGCGTCACGGCGAGCACCACCGCAACGCGCGGCGCCTTTACGCCGGCCACCGCGACGCAGCTGCGCCGCGTCCGCGCTCTCGCGAGGAAGAGGAAGAGACGCCTGGAGAAATTTCGCGGTTTTCCGTACCCCACCGCTAATCCTGCGATTACGTAAACCGAGTGGCGCTGCGACGCTAGGCGTTGGTCGAGCGCTTCGGTCTTGGCGCCGCGACGCCAGCATTTCCAAGTGGAGCTTGAGTCGTGTCTAGTGTCGCCATCTCGTGATCATAGTCGGAAGTTTTTATGCACGTTGAGCATCGATAGTGATTTTGATTATCGTTACCGTCGGTAGTTTTGTCAGTTTTGATTTTAATTTTGAAAATTATATTTTTTTCTTACGTAATATAGCTCACGGATATATTTCGATTACAAATTTTCTGTGGGTTAGAAAAAAATTGTTTGATACCGACTGTCGGTAACTGTTTACCATGCTAATAGCATACTTGCTGTATTATCTACTGTGGACAAAATGAAAATTTGGTATTTTTCTTTAACACGTCTTTTGACCATATTTTTTTTTTCTAATTAAAAATTATTGCAATTTCTACAACGCTCTAATTTTTAATCGTCTTACCTCATAAAAGAATATGACTTAATTTTTACTATAAATAAACATACAAGGCTTAAAAAATAGTATATTTATTTACATAATCCGGTCGCATACAAAATGCAAAGTGGATCTGTTGAATAAATTGCAAACAAAATGTATACAGATCCATTCAAAATAAAACGAAAATATCTGCTTTCTCCCCTTGGCAAACGTATCAAATCGCAGAATAGTTCGTCAAAATTAAAAAACAGATCAAAAAAAATTTCTTATCGGATTATCTTTTTTTCCTTAAGTGGCACTGCCGCGGCATCGTCACCGTTCTCTACATTACCGTCCCTCTTAGTATCACCTTCCGGATTATTCCAAGCTTGGAGCTCCCCGCTACCAAAAATTCCAAAAACGACAGCACCGCCGCAGTAGGTGATGGCCAAAATCCAAAATATTACTTTCCACTGACTGTAAGTCTGATTTTCATACGTGAGTGTACCGACCATAAAGCTACTCAGGTATCCGCCCAAAGAGCTCAGGGTATTGGCCATGCCGAAGATGGTACCTGAGAAATTGGGTGCTATGTCGAGACCATTGCCCAGATAACCGGCAGTGACGCCACCGTTGATTGTCAGTGCAGTAGTAAAGATGACTACCGAGGTGATCCTGTCGCAGCCAAGATAGGCTTGGATGATCATCAGGAGTCCTGGACTCATCACGGCTGAAATGATTAATATGCTCGTAAGCATCGATTTGCATCGTTACACTTTTGATTAATTACTCCTGCCTGCTGTCCTGCGGCCTAATAGAGAGGAGAGAGGCGAAGAGAAAGGCAGGCGAATGGGAATACTTTTAAAAGATGTAGAAGAGGATCTAGGGAGGAGAGAGGATCGTTGCGTCACTCGGTACAAGCAAACAAATCAATATGTCCGGAAAACAGCGGACTGCGTATTGGCCATCGAAACTGATACACGGCTGGGGCTACTTTAATTGTACGTTGGGCTGAATTAAGGGCAACAGGCACTTTTTCACGGCGGATTAAGCTCGTCCTTGCCCCTATTGTCATTTGTTCATATTGGTAAATTGGTACTTGTCGGTGGCGTTAATGGGGGCTAGATATGGTTATGGGAAGTACCGTGTTATGGTACTAAATAAAAAATGTGATCGGTAAATATTTAAGGAACGTGAAAAACAAAATGTTAAATTCCAAAACGTACTTACCAAAAATCGTAAAAATTTTTCGAATAGCCGTGACCGACAGTTTTTTATTGCGAAGCAAATAATCTGCCAGGCTCGAGGTTGCTATTGCAAAAAGATATTTACCTAGGTATGGTAAAGAAGAGAGAAGTCCATTCTGAAAAAAAAAAATTTTGGAATTTTATTGGATGATTTTGAGATTTTTTTTTTTTCTACTTACCTCTTTGATATTGAATTTCAGTATGTATTTCATGTATGTTGGTAACTGGTTTACCACTGTGAAGTAACCGAAAACGCTACAGCCGTGTGTTACGATGATTGCCCATACTGGTACAGACGTCAAAATTGATTTCCATGGTACCGGTAGATGCTGTATGAAGAAATTTTTTTTAATTTTTTAATTTTTTTATTTTTCAAATACATACTTTGTTAGTCGACGTGGTACCAATCGCGTTTTCAATAAATTGACGCTCCTCGTTCGATATCCTTGGATGCTGGGCTGGCGAATCGTAAACGAACCAAAACCATCCGATACTCCAGATTAAACCGATTGCACCGGTTACGTAAAATACGGATTCCCATCCAAGAGAGGCAATGAGATAGCCGCAAATGGGCATTGTGATGGCAGCTCCAAGAGAAGATGCTAATAAAAAAAAAATATCAAATACATTTCGAGGTCTAAAATATTATGATCGATGATCGAGACAAATAATTTTTTGTTTACTTTTTTTTTCAAAATAAATCTTATAGCTGCAGCTCCCATCTATTAGCTAAGCATTTCTTGTACAGTCTATACAATTGCATAACCAATCATATTGGACACGCGCTTAGTATTTTATCGATATAAAAAAAAAATCCATATTGATTATTTCTCACCCATCATATTTGCTACGAATTTACTTCGCTCCATCGGTGGGATCCAGCGTGCAGTCATTGGTTGAATCGCAGGCCACGTGACGCCCTGAAAGATTCCTCAAGTTTGATCGGACCAAGTTGAAAACTCGTATTACTTATTTCCTAAAGAAAATCTTATGCGTTAAGATACATAAATCAACGGCTCACCAACATAAATCCCAAAACTACCCTTAGACCAGCCACGACCATGTATCCGAAGGTACTGGACAAGGGCGTCAGAAGAGTAATGGCACTAGAGACCAGCATGCTGTAGCCAAAGACTCTTTTTGCTCCTACGACCTCAGCAAGTCGTCCGCCAGGCAATTCAGTGCAGATGTAGCCCCAGAAGAAGCTACCCAAAATCAGGTTGACCTCATACTCGTTCCACGGGAACCTGGTCTGTTCGACGGATTCGTCCTAAGTGGTAAAAAAAAAAATAAATAAAAGATCAATATGGTGTATATTGAAATTTTTTTTTTTTTTTTCAAAAAATTGATACTGTCGAAATATTTTTTCAAAATTGAAAAAAAATTTTTTGCCTTAATATCTGCTGTTGTCGTAATGTTGTCAATTGGAATGATGGACGATGAGAGTTTGGTGTTGACGCATCCGCTGTCAACAGTCTCATTGGAATGTGAACTATGGTTGCTCGGAATCACCATGGCAACTATGGCTATTGTTAGATTAACACGAAGCATGTAATTCAACATGAAACCCAGAATAACCATGATGTTGAGTACTTGGCGACATGATAATCGAACTGGAAAAAAATTAAATGTCAAAAATGCCAACTGTCGGATTGATCGGTGTGAAAAGATGTTCAGTGAAAATAATCTGTGTCAATTTAATTTTTATCGTCAACTGGTACCAGGCTAACCAATTTTACACAAGTGTCATATATACTGTGCAAATATGCACTGGGTAATAAAAACGATGTAGAAAAATCTGAGTCCTTGAATAAATTCTATTCGCAATTAATTGCGACTTTCGAGATAATTTGCTGCCGATTATCTAATCGATTGTACCGTAAGGATATAAGAGTCTGTAGTTGTTTGTTTGGGAAATCATGTCAAGCTTAACAGACGGCAAACAATTTTTTACGTAATCGCAGGTATTGTAAGTATCTAGTTTATTTGTATACCAGCAGCGTCCAATATTATCTTTAAACGGTCCAGCGATTTTTGAAAAAATTTTGTTACGATGTATAATTCGTATATAGTGTTTGAATGTGCCAATGTGTATTAAAATGGATGAATAAATTTTTTTCTTGTAAATGGATAAATTTTTGAAAAAATGTATGGTAATAATTACAGATAAAAAAGTTACGCTTATCGTATTATAAAAGTATATCATATGTCATCGTCACGGGGTTATTATATCAGACGAATCCACATATGTAATTATTTGCTTGAGAATAACACGTGTTGATGTTTATTTGTTTTTCTTTTATTCCACCTGTTGCGGCACACCTGTTATTGGATCGCTGCCAAAATTGGTCACCCACGCGAACTATCTGGCTGTTTGAAAATTTTTGCGAATCATTGGGCAAAATTGCGAAATTTGTTGGAAACAAAAAAGAAGGATAAATAAATTAATGGGACGTTTAATGAATTTCACGCTCGTTACGCGCAACTCAAAAATCTAATTAGTTACATATCCTTGGTCAAATGTATTTCTTAATGAATTGCAATTTTCTTTTCGCAGTGCAACGACCAGCACTTCCGTTACGTGCATAAATTAGAGAGGATCGTTGGAATTGAGATGATTTTGAAAAAATTAGATTTAATAATTAATTTCGAATTTTTTTTACCGTTACGAAGAGACTCTAATCGTTTTCCTTCGTAAATTCGACGCAGAGCGTCGCGACGCCGTAAATACTCTGGCTAGGTTTGTTTGGAGTATTTATAGACAGGCCTTAGCCTTGTCCTGTTGGTTCGAGGCTGAGGTTGCTCAAGATTCTTTTATCGACGAAGAGACTAATTGTCCTTAAGGAGATCAGTGGAAAATCAATGACGTCAGAAGCATTAAGCACCGTCTGCCCGGATATATTAGGAGTTGGGTGATCGACGGGGTAAAAAAAAGAATTTTCGAAAAATCAAAAATTTTTTTTTAATTTTCAAATTTTCATTTTTTAAGGTTAACGCATACCTTTTTTTCCCGTTTCGCGTAACATGTGAATCAGACTAAAGGAAATCGCGTAACGAGTCCTCACAGTCAAGGCCGAAAAACAACATTCGTATCCGCAACTCCTAGCGGAAATTGAATGCAATCAAGCGACGCAACTGCAAGTTGCGATTCGAAAAATCAGGCGCGACGTAATCGACCAATGGAAACTTCGCAAATAATCGCATTCGTATTCGCTCGTATAACGAAGTCGAAATTAACCGATTCGCTCACCCGGCCCGTTGTCGCTGTCGCCCGCGGTCGTAAGGACTGTCACTTACGATTCCCAGGAATTTCACGTAGAATTAAGACTAATTGTCGACTTCGCAGTTACGATTAATTATCGTTCCGCGGCTCACGAATAATTTTCAGAGGAAAGTTTACTCAAGGTCGGACACGCAAATTAGAGTTAACCTGCTCCATATCTTAATTTAAAATTTACATTTTTTATGCGCGATTAATACACGTTCCGATAACAGAACATCTGTCGATTTTAAGATTATTAGCCGATCGGCAACCCTCTCCTGCACAAAATTTATCATTAATACAGAATTTCACGTAATTAATTTTGATTTTTATTTTTTCAACATTATTTTATTCGTTATATATTTTCGAATTCGATACCGTATCTTACGCCGTAGCAAAAAAAGATTCTCTTCTCACATTGTATCCATGTATATATGGACCACGCTCTGGGGTAACCGTGAGGAGATAATGGGCTCCATTAAAATAAACGAGTTTAGGGCAGTCAACCTGAATGTGAGGTTGCCTGTATTAAAAGATTGGTAAGGTAGGGAAGTGGGGGTGGCCGTATGAGGGGAAAAGGGAGTTCTCCACCCTACCCACATAAATTATCCCACGTCTATATATTTATTAATCATTGATTTCTCTCTTAAAACGGTTAATAATTAAAATAAGTGAATCTGACAAAATTTATATTTTTGAAATTTTTTTTTAGTCGGACAACAACGTAATAAAAAATTAATTAATTAGCACAGACGAGCTTGAGAACTCGATTAAATATGATTTAGAGAATTGATTTGTTTATGCACAAAAATTGTTGACAATCATTAATATGCAGATTTCAACTATAAATTATTTTAATCTTACCTGTTATTCTAGGATTGGACGCCATGATCGAACAAAATTTTTACGTTGTTTCTACTGCGAAAAATAATTTTTGGGGTTCAATCTAAATCACTCTCGTTAACTAATAAGTAATATTAGTAAATTTTTATTATAACAAGAAGAACATCACGATATATATATAAAGACTTGCACTAAGCGACGAACGACTGATTAAAAAAAAAATTAGGGTCTTAAAAATTTTTCAAAATTAAGTTAACTCTCCGAAATTCCTTGAGCCATTTTTGTGCACTTTTTCGAAATTTTTCACGGTTTCCAAATGTTTACTCCTTCGTCGTTATTGCTGCGTGGTAAATTTATTTTCAGCACCGAATCCGGGTAAATTCGTACACTAGCTTGAATAGTACAGTCCGACATGAAAATTTCGTCGGTGTGTAGACGAGAAAAGCGTTTCGTCACGAGTGTCTTAGAAAATAGTGAAAATTGTTCTAACGTTGGCAGGATGGTGGTCGGATTCGAACTGAGTGGAACTGAGCCCTAGAAGTGGACGATAGTCATCGGTTGGACGTCGACGACGTCATTTCGTAATAACGTTGGCACCGAGGTCGTGGAGGGGAGCATAGTTCGACGTCATAGAGTTCACGTTCAAAGATGCCGCCCTGTGCCAAGAAGATGAGGCCTCTTTTGTCTTGGATGACTTTTAAAGAGAATAATAGGAAAACGAAAAAAAAAAAGAAAAGAAGATTGATCGTCCGTGTACACGCCTCTTCGAGTCTTCATTGAAGAATATAATTATTTGGATGTAAGAAAAAAAAACCATAAACGCTTTCTAGCATTGTAGTATAAGAGACAGTTGATACACGGTGTAACAAATTTATTATAATTTTATGTATGTACATGCTATGCTTAGTATGCAACTTACGGTTCAACTGCACTTTAAACGAATATACAGGTTAATTGATATTCGTTAAGAATGAGCAATTTTTTTTTTTTCAATATTTAGTATGGTGCATCCATTTTGTATCCTTATATAACGATAAGGAATTTTTTTACATTGAGCATATTTTTTTTTTATTTTCATTTTGAATATTTATGAGGAATTACGTTACTATGCAGAACCCTGTAGACGGTAGAGTTGATTATACACGGTCGAGTGTATTTTTTGTAAAAATTTGATAACGTCAATATACATATTGAATTTTTATCATTGCCATACGTAAGACGCTATGCGAGACCTTCGTTCTTGGGCGTTGAGTAGAAAATTCGAATTTCCCGCTCATCGATATATAAACGTGCCATTGTTTATCTGTATGACGTATACGTCATTTCATGAATTAATCGATAATGTTCAGTTTACTGTTCGTCTTTCGCAACTGAGCTCGCCATGGTATTATTTGGGTGTCGTCCGGATCTTCATTTTTTATGCCGTTTCGTTTATCTTCGTTTTCCATTTTTTCATCGTTGTTTCTCGCAACTGGCACCGGCGACGCGTCACGTTTTGGCGCTGGCGTCAGTTCAATTTTGACGGGCTGTATCGTGGGATTGTTTGGCGCCGCCGTAGTACTTCTGAAAGTGCAAAAAGTAGCATCGATTATACATAAAGACAGACGGAACCAAAATTTGCAAAAAAAAATTGCTAAATTTTTTTTTTTGGGAAAATCAACAGAATCATAATAACAAATAATTATTCGGAGAGAATTTACGTGATGACATTTTTTTGTTTTTTTTTCAAAAAATTGTTAATTTGTATGCAAATTTAATTGCATATAAAAACTATCTACTATTTTGCATTTATCAAAATTTCTGTCCTAATTATTATATACAGTAAATTCAATAAAGAGGACACGCTCTAATGATACCTTGTAAATAAAATTAATAACCCAATAAATCGTGTGGAATGTATTGATTTTATATCGATGTAGTCACGTATATCATTAATGCCAGTTCTGTCCCGTTAAACACTTAATTTTTATTCCGATCTCTGACATTCATTTGCACAACTCACTTTTTCTCCTCGTTATCCTTTTTTGCAAGAAGCTGCCTCTTCCAGGCCGGAATAGCTTTCTGTCGCCTCTCTTCGTTTTCCCTAGCAATTTGCTCCTCCAGTTCCTTTTTCGCACGTTCCGCGGCCTTCCTGGCGAGCATCTGTCGTTTCCAAATAGGTATCACGTTGCCAGAACTGTCTTTCTCCGGAATCTGCATGGACCGCAAGGGCGAAAGAAAAAAAGAGACAATAAAAAAGATTTAAAAGATCAAGGAAGCTCGCTAACGCCAGCTAACACAAAAAATCGAATTACCTGATCGACAAAATTTTGCGCACTGAAAGCCTTGCTCATCTCCGTCATAAGATGTTGCTCCTGTGTTTTCTCCACTTGCGCCCTTTCGACTTTCAATTTTTTGATACCCGGTATATCCCTGGTCTTCTTCAATTCCGCGATCAAGTCCGTCTTCTGAACGAAGAACGGTTCCGAGACTGAAACCAACGTTTTCCAAAAATTCCAAATTTCCTCCAAAAAAAAAAAAAACTCAAAACCGAAAAAAAACTCACCATTGGTCATAGAGACGCTACGCGGTGGCGGCGCCGAGAACGTCTTAGTAGCGTGCATCTTAGAGTTGGTCCTCCTTAGCTGAACGCTGGTCAAATCCTGAATACTGATAGTAGCCAAAGGCTGAGGTGTCCTGGGAGTTTCCGGTTCGACACTGATACTCCCTTGGTACTCCCTATTTTTTTGTAAAGGAGGTAAAGGAGGCGGTGGTGGTCCAGGTGGAGTATCTGTACTCCCCTCCTCCTTGCTCTCCCCCTCCCCCGCCTCCTCCTCGCGTACGCGACTCTGAATATCCAAATTATCCACAGACCTTGAAAAAAAAAAAAAAAATTCAAAATTTTTTCCCGTCACTTTGAAGTTAAAAAAAAAATTTTTTTCTCATCAGCACACACTTCCCTTCACAATCGTCACGCACTGACCTTGCTTTGGACAAACTGTTCTTCCCCGTTGACTTGCATATACTCTTCAAGTATTCCGACGGCTTCAGCAGGGTGTTCGAATCGGCCGCGGTCGCGAATTGTGGCGGTATAAACGGCAGCACCATGTGTCTGTTCACCAGGTGGGACACCTGGCTCGGCTTCGTTTCCTCTGGCTCCGCAGGTGGACTGGCAGGAGCGACTTCCGGCTGCTCGCAGGATACGTCGGACTTGTTGGCCGCTGTTCCGCGACATAGAAGGGAGTCGGTCAGTCATTATTATAAGTGGAGATGGAAGATGGTGTGCAAGTGAAATCTAGGTAAGTATATTATATGCCCGCTGAGCGCCATGGTCTAGTAATGGCCGCATCCATAATCTCTAACGGTCCAATTAAAGGCTGCGCACACCCTAAATTGCAATTACCTTCAATTAGGTTGAAACCTGGGCTAATCCTTGAAAATCTTTTAAATGCTAATACAGACACGGTTAAGTTACGGGGGGGTCGATTTTATCTCTGCTGTAATTGCCACTGGAGCACCCGCTATATATCCGTACATACATGAGCATGCGTATACAGTACACAGGTTTCGGTCTTATTAACGTCAGTTTTAACTATTTTCGTTCTTCCTTCGCGAAGATAGCGTTCCGGTGGATACACAAAAAAGATTTTTTTTACGACTCGTTTTTTCTTTTTTTTTTTTTTCCTTTTTTTTGGCCAATTTTTAATTACGGCTATTTCCTTCTGTAGTGTCGATGACATTTGCCGAATTTCGTTATGGGCCAGCTATATTGTATTTTTTTTTTTTATTTTTGGAAATTACGTAAACTCGTTACGGGACCACGTGGCGATGTTACGCTGGCTGGAAGAATTGTGCAAGATTATACGATTTATGGATAATCACCGACTCCGGGTGATTCTTATGTATTTGAGATTCCCTAGACAACCGGGAATTAATTTTTGACTAATGATTTTTTTTTTGCTTTCACTCTGAATTTCGTGGAGTAAAAATAAAATTTACACGAATTACATAATATTTGACTTACCCGAAGAGACGCTGCCGGACTCGCTCTTGGTGTCGGGAGATCCTTCGTAAAGGTCCTTCTTGTCATCTCGCAAGTTATTATTATTATTGTTACTGTTGTTATTATTACTTTCAACGATCTTTGCATTGACTACGATTATCTCCTCGGTGTCTGGCGGTGGCGGAGGCGGAGGCGGCGGTGGTTTCACCAGACTTGAAAAGAATTAAAAAAAATTGTCAAACTCGTTCAACACGGACGTATGAGTCTACGAAGAAAGTCTGTCGCTTTCGATAATATATTCCCACGTTAAGTAGATCGGGATAATTAAATATTTTTTTTTGGCGGGAAATCTGTTATCGATATTCGAAATTATACGTCAATTTTTTTAAACATCATTATCCCGTAGACATGCTAATTAATGGGTATCGGTGATTGAAGTGAAGAGATCGAAAAAAAAAAATTCATCTACAAATCAAAGGGATATCAAAATGTTATTACTGTACTTGTATCTGCGATAAGAGCGTAAGTCTTTGCTAAGCTGTGCAATTAGTGGTCGATTAGTTCCTTTTATCGATAGCCTTGTCCTACTTACCTGGGTCCAGTGTGCACTAGTATCTTAATGTCCTTTTCACTTTCTCCCTGCGAGGTGTTTGATTGCTTCCTCTCTGTGAGATAAAAAAATTTTTGTATTCCCTCATCCGCTCCTTAACGATTTAAATAAATTAATCGATTTGACGTCTGTCAAAACTTATATCGCACGTGCGATGAAAATCGAGGATCTTCTTACCGGGGATCCGCAGCTCCGGTACTTTTGGACTTTTGTTGATATGCTCGTTGCTCGAATTGCGCGATAAGGACGGCGTCGAGATCGGCGACGAGTAACCGTGAATTTCACTGTGCACGTTTGACGAGTCGCTGATGCTGCTGGACCGACTGTAGCGTCGATCGTTCTTGCTGGATTTGGTCATGCTGGACTTGCTGGACTTACTGAAATATTTGTCAAAAAAATTTTAATTAATAAATTAATATAGCGATAGTGACGTCATATGTATGGACGACACTGATTAACAATTAAACGATCGATATGAGTACTGTCAATTAAAAAAAAATTCGGACCATTTTTTTTTATATCACTTTATCATTCTATCTGGCCAGATCGTTCGGGCTTATCTGTCAGATTTGACATTATATTACATAGGCGATTTGATTGGCCGATTTGACTTCTCTAATATTTATAACCCCCATGTGTTGATATCCGTTTGATATATGCATATACGGTGGACGTATTATCGCGATTGGTGATTGTTTACTGGATCACGATACGGCGTCAAGGTAATTGGTATCGATCGAAAAGTGCCCTTTGGGCCTTGATAAACCATCCACCACCTATTATAGGCCTTTTCGGAGATTCTGTGAGTTGACACGGGTACAGTCCGACACAGTACTTTAAATTTAATTAGAGTCCGATAAAAAGTTGGACTGCCGAATATTTTTTTTGTTACCATTAAATTTGAATTTATTATCTAACATATTTCATTTAAATGAATGGAATAGAAAATTGGCCATCCAATAACGTTGTCTAATCAGTCGCGATAGCGAACTTTCTCATTTCCCGGGATACCGTATCACCTTGATTTTAGGTTAAAAAAATTGCGCAATTTTTGGTTTACGTCAAGCCGATCAATACTTATTGGACAATTGAGCATGGGGAGTGACGTATGTGAAAAAAGTTGTATGCTAAATAAAAAAAATACAATTGTACAGGGTGATTCACTTTAACCCATCCAGATTGCATTTCCGTTTACGCGTAACGTGTACCGCGTCTATTATCAACATCAAAGAGAATTTTCAAAACTCCCATTATCAAGTACACTTACCGGGGTCGTCTGCCACACGTGATCCATAACAGTAGATTAAGACACATGAGATTAATTGAAATCGGTAAAGTCGATGAAAAAAAATTTACATACTAAAAAGAAATTATATCAAAAATTTTTCATCGCGACATCAATTTTGCGTAATTTGATTAAAGTTTTGAAATTTATGAGAAAAATTTTTTAAATACAATAAATAGTATCTAAGCTACCAGAATCGAATGCATCGTCGGGATTTTTTTTTTTTTTCACCGATGAACACAATTCGATATAGACAGACTTAACGCTTCCTCGACATGGGGCAATTTCGTGGCGAATCCAATCGTCCCGAACGATCGACTGATAGAATTCAGACCGCGATTATACCTGCTATCAGACACATTATCGGAGTGATTCTTGTGGGATGACGTCACACTATCAGTTTCGTCTCGATGTAAACAGATTTGTTCGTATGCGTGCTCGGTGTCCTTGATCGAATCGGTTCTTATCGTGGTCCCATTTCCGATGCTCTTGTAGTTCCGGTTGTTGATGTGGACATCAACTTTCACTGAAAGAGTCAAAGGGGGTTGAGAATTTCACATAAAAACAAAGTCATTAGGATTATGTAAAATAAAATAATTATAACATATTGATTGTATAGAAAAAAAAAAAAAAAAAAAAAAAAAAAACGCATTTCCGATGCTCTTGTAGTTCCGGTTGTTGATGTGGACATCAACTTTCACTGAAAGAGTCAAAGGGGGTTGAGAATTTCACATAAAAACAAAGTCATTAGGATTATGTAAAATAAAATAATTATAACATATTGATTGTATAGAAAAAAAAAAAAAAAAAAAAAAACGTTCAGTCATCTTTTCATAGGACGACCGTCGCTCGTAATGACTTACGTTTCGGCTTTTTGCTATAGTTCATGACCACTCAGGTAGTACTTATTTAAACGCCCATAGGTGCACGTGCATTTTAGCACGGACTGTACGTAATTCCTAGACCCGAATTATGACCGTAAAGGTAATTAAAGTATACACAAAATACATGAAATATACACGAGGAAAAGGCAAACGAACCTGCGTAAAGATCATTAACGAATACAATTAAGCTTCAAATTGTAAGAATCGACTGATAACAAATACTGTTCCGGGTAAAATGATTGCGCAAAGTAGTCTGAAAATTCGTGAATCATCATCGTCATTATATCCTGCGATTGTCACTCGTCATCTTTCATATCAATTTCGATAAGAAATTTTTCTACAGCGCTACGAGAAGCCTGCGTGTATAATTTTATAATTTTTTTTCTTTTCTAATGTTAATCGACGCTCCTCGGCGCACAATGTCAGACAGAAATTAGACTCGTGATACGAGATTAAAGAACGTTTCATTTCGCGACCCAGGTACTTCCTTAATGCCATTACCCTACTGTAGCGCAATGCTCTATTTGAGTTTCACTTCTTAAGCCCTGTGCACGGGTATACAGTCCAGTTCATAAATAATATTTTTTTTAACGTTATACATTTAAATTGTGCACAAGGCTTATTATTTTTGTCACTGGACTGTACCTGTGTATTTTATACTTTGCTTATACGCGTTACGTGGAAATACAGTTTTCCCTATTCAGACTGTACGACGATCAGTAGAAACATTTAAATTTCAAGATAGCCGCTTTAAGCCTGATTCACACGTGCTTTTGAATTCCTGATCGTTTTTATTTACGCACATTTACTCATTGCGAACGGACAATGTAGTCCTTATACTGTTTAACAGTATAGGGCTTTTGGTCGGGTACCGTATAAGGAGGCTGGAGCTAAGAAGTCATAAAGATAATTAAAAAATAGCAGATACCGTTGAAGAATATGAAAACGTGTGACACTCGAAATCGAATATCAATGAAGTCGTAACAGGGGCTTAAGGGTCCCGGAGAAAATCGCGTGCGATCAGTCTAATCGATTTTACGCACGTCAATCACGATACGCGCAGCATCCTTTTAATTTGTATGATGATTATTGTAATTATGAAATATCGAGATTGTATGATTAGACAGAAATCAATTAATTGATTATTAAAAAGTTTTATTGGATCTGATAAAAAAAAATGACGATTTGAAAGAATTTGGTTGAGTAACAATAATCACTTTTATTGGATACATTATTTATATGATTATTATGTCAATTCATCATAAAGATCCGAATCGTAAGCCAATGACTAATCGATCGTATCGATAGTGAATTAATCAAGATTAATTTTATAAAAAACCATTGTCACTGTTATCAGTATAGTTTTCTGTCATCCAATGATAAATACCAATACCAGGATATTTATTTCGTCCAATCAATGAAAATCTAATTTTACAATAATAACAATGAAAAATCGATTCTTGATGAAAAATTAAAAAAAAAAACTCAAATTTCATAAAATCTAAGTAAACTCGATAAATTTTGAAGATTTCAATATCTCATCACCCATCGATATCAAGTGCATTTATGACTATGGTAGCAAAAAAAAAAACTCAATTCTCAAAATTCACAGAGGAATTTCCTACAATCGATCCAACAATGCATCAATGATCTACGATCTACAACGATCCATTTCTGACTCGCAATAAAAGTCGATCATAAAAAAAAAGTGCGTCCAAGCATAACGCGATAGTCCGACCGGATTCCACGAGTATTAAATAAATCAAAAATATAAACCGGAAGTGAACGACCGATAGGTTGAAAATAATGGGTTAAAAAAACGAACAGTCAAAAAAAAAAACCCAACTTCCCACGCCTGCAATAAAAATAAAAATAAAATCGTAACATCCACGCCACGTCGATACAGACTGTAATCATTCGGACCAATCCAATTGATCTTTACCAATACTCTTTTTTTTCCCCGACTCGATCGTTCTGGCCAGTTAACGGCCAGCACTACGAACCGCGATCAACGGAGTATGAAATCTTAATCGATCCGAGTACGATTAGAAGTAGGAAGTCCAAGCACTCTCGTCAGGACGATGGCAACGAGAACGACAACGAATAATTTCGAATGATGGAATCGAGGTCGTCCGTAGTATATCCGGAGAGCCGGCAGACACTCCAGTCTGTCAGTAACATTAACGGAGTTTGTAATATCTGGGACGTGCCACTTACCGGTTAAAGTTTCATCTTTCCTTTCGACGCGTTCGGCGTTACGCGATTCTTCGCTGTCGCTGAATAAATGAGTTATCCTGGTGTAGACCAAGTCGTGCGGGCTGTGAAGGTAAAAGGACTGGGTGTCCTTAGGCTTCTGGGATTCCCCTATGAAGGCACTCATTGGATTTATATAAATCCCGTCACGTGGTCTGCTACCGGGTGGATGAAGAAAGAACGGCTCCTGTAGCATGCCGCAGCTTCTCAAGGAGCACTGATTATTTTTTAATTACCAAAAAAAAAAAAATTATCAATTTTTTGAATAATGTTCGTATATTTTTTTATCTCACTCTTTTTTTTCTTTTCATCCTCAATACGATAAATTTTTCACTTGCCTTATCTACCGAACTTGTCATGCAGCTGCAGGTCGTTGCGTCACTCAGATTTTCTGAATAATCAGATCCTAAACGATCCCTCGCCATCTTGCCCGTGACATCAGTTCGATCTCGATTGATCTTCTTGTTACTTAAAAAAAAATTTGATTAGATGTAATTTTGAATTATTTGTCAATTTTTGACAATTCTTGCAATTTTTTAGGTATATGTATTATATACGAGCTACTTCAAATTATAATCATTGCAGTCGTGAGAAGTCATTAGCGGGGCAGGTAAAAAAAAAAATAAAAAATATAAAAAAATTTCTCTAACCGTTCACCATCTGGTAGGAAAGTCACGTACTTGGAGTCGTAGAATTTTTTTTTGTAAAAAAAGTTAATCCGATCAACACGACCAGGAAATAATTGCAAAGTGCATTAATAACGTCCAGTCGGCTCTTACCAGTTTGCCAATACAGCAAAAGCCATGCTAACGTCCAAGACTTTTGAATTAAAGCCGACAAATGCATTTCGTAGAATCTCTAACGTTTATATCTGCATGTTGCAACGGTGCAACACCTGCGCGCCTTGAGAATCGTTTGGTCGATCATCGCCACTAGAAAATTATTATACCGGGTTAAGTAATTCGAGTCGATCCAATTTGTCAGACGTCATTGAAGTTTCGTAACGATACGTCAGCCTTTTCGGTGTTACGTAAAAAACATGAAAACATTTGATATATTTTTATTTTCTAACCGCCACCATTGTCGCGACCGGCCGAAACAATTGGTCGAATACAAAATGCACAATGGTACTGGGAAGCATGGGGAATTACGTGTAAAAAATAAAATTTGTTCCGGAACAGTTATATATATATATATATATATATATATATATTTATCGAGTATAGACAAACCGGAAATAAAATTTATCCATGATTTTCAATTTACGACTGGAACGACCCCGTTTTCTTATTGCAGTCTATATAGAAAATAAATTTTTTTTAAATATTAAAAAATTTTATTAGTCGATCATTATTGATTGGATAAATATTGTATTGAATTTACGAAATATTCAATATTTAATTGATCGTGATTGGCTCTATGCTTTTTATTATTATCTCTTTAATTTTTTTTATACCATCGCATTAAAAACGCGTTCTAAGCTTCTTACCTGGACGCAGTATACTTTACAACGGTTTAACTCGTGTTTTTCATGTGAAATATGACTTTCCAGTCTTTACATGGAAACTATAAACGATTTGACGCTCCTTCGTTAATTTGCTATGGGAGCTTAGGCCACGTGTTTTTATCGCGATATTACGTAAGTCAGTGTTTTATGTTGATCTGTTGTCGTTTGGTAAAAAAAGAAAAATTCGAGGTAAACAGTCAAGTAAACTGATGAGTTTCGTGAAAATTTTCGGTCGATTTTTCTTAACCGGTCATTTCGTAGGTTTCATTGTCGACTGTACGCTTTCGCGAATTTAAACAATTATCCACAATGTTCTTCGTCGTGAACTTTCTACGGGAGGGAATCAATTAGTACTCGTGTTCCAGTGGCCGTGCCTAAGCAAGCCTATTGAGGAGAGGGTACGTTAAATTTGCAATTGCGGAATTTCGTCCGAGACAAAAGAAATACGGAAACTCCAATACCTAATGATCCCTATAATGTAAAATTGATTATTTCAATATTTCTCAATTCCATGTTGATTTTGTTTTGTCGATTCCATTTTTCCTAGTACGTAAACAAATATACTCCCACAATTATTAACGGGCAAACAAAGCGTAAGCGATCGAATCGCGTAACGATACAAATTTTTTTTTATAAAAATTTTTAAAAAATTCTCAGCACGTAAATCCTATTTTTTCCAATATTATCATTATACGATAAAAACTTAATAACGGGTGGCGTATGCTTTGCGATAAAAATTGGGTGTTATCGATCCATTGGATTTTACAAGCTTCCCCCTAATAATCAAACAGCCCGTTGGTATCTGTTACAATAATCATTTTGCTGTTGATAAGGTAAAGAAAATATGAGAAATTCCACAAAGTACTTTCTTACGAAATCGCGTAAATTTTTTTTTATTAATTCCACTTAACTATTGTTCCCGTTATTACCGATCGATAAAATCCAGTTACGAGAAAGGTAAATCGATTTATTGAAAACCGTAGTGGGTATTTGCGGTAAAAATAAAAAAAAATTTTAAACGCACTATCGACGTCATAATTGAAAGGACCGAACGCTCAAAGTGCATTTAGCACAGAAAAGACGATAAGAAGTTATATAGGTTCGTTAAATTTCTTTTGGTTACCCGCTATTGTGAGAACTGTAACGAGCTAATTAAATTGCGGTGCGACTGGAACTCGTAATGCTGTTAGGCAGGCAGGTAGAGCACTTTACGGTTCATATAGCATCAAATGTCCATAGAACATCCGCAGAATGTCCATCGAGTATTCTGGATGGCTACGAGACGTTTAAGTATAATTTTTCAAATATTTATTCACTTTGACAACATAATATTTTCTTTTTCTTAATACCAATTGGTACCAACTGTTCTTGTATATTAAAAAATTTTTATCTCGTATCCTTCGCGTATACGTTATTAACAGCTGTAACCCGCTAATACATCCTCCTTTCGAAAGGTGGAAAAACAACGCAAGTACGAATACAATTGTTGGAAAGAAACTCGCTATGAAAGTTAAAAGTCGCTAGTAAATGCGTGCGCACGTTCGAAGGTGAGTTTAGTGCCTCGTTAAAGTCCATTTTCATATAAATCGAACATAGAGAAAATCCCGTGGTGCATGCATACTTTTTTTACTGTACACATGTAAAAAAATTTTTTAAATAAAAAACATTTTTTTTATTCAGTGTCACTGTGCGTTATCAGGATACGGGAAAAAAAATGATACGCCTTTAGGACCGATAGTGAAAATGAAAAATTATTTTCACGTACGTTGGTACTTGAAAGAAAAAAAAATGAATGACAATTTAATATTCAGTTATGATATTACGAGCTCAACATTCTCCGGAACAAAATTACCAGGTTGTATCCTTTCTCCGCGATGTATCCTGTTGCGTCACGCGTAAACGATATACTTTTTGCCCAAGTGGGTGAAGGACGCGAATTTGTATCCTCTCCCGGAACGCCATAGAATTCGACGCCGTGACCGTGGACATTGTCGACGCCGACGCCCGGCATGCGGATGGACAACAATTGCGTAAAATGCCAGTGCACGCGATGCAGCAGCAACAGAGATCGGTGGGTTGTTTTTTCAAAAAATTACCAAATTCGAGAATCAGTGAAATGGGTTTTTGAAATTTTGAAATTCCAATGGTTATCTCGCAGATCGAATATATCGAGTCGCGTGACTTTTCACGAATCTCCGTATTGTCCCTGTCGACCCGTGACTCCATTAAAAAAAAAAAAATTTTTTTTTTTTTCACTCAAAATATCGAACCAGTTTCCCGAGAATGACGAACTCGTACTGATGTTAGATCTCGGGAAACGCTTAATGGAATCCTGTGGCAGCCAACCTAGATCCCGGCATTCCCCACGATGGCTTTACGAACACGCACGCCATAGCCCAGTTTCATCTATGACCAGCTAACGAGAGCTATGTAAATGATAGATCACGCTAGATCTTCGTGAAGCGTATTAATGATAGAAATCTTCATGCTATATCCAAGGATCAATGATAATTAAAATAGACCGTAATCCAACAAACGCTTACACTAATTGACGTAGTTATAAAAAAGAAAAATTAATATAAACATACTTTGTACAGTCCCGCGCACAAACAATCCGTCAGACGATTTAGCCCAGACTCGAACCCTCAAAATATAAATCTTCAAGACTCATACCAAACCACGTACAGTAAAATTTCACTGATTTCTATGTAAAATCGATAAAAAATTTCTTTTATAATCTCATTAATTCACAAAATAATACCACTGCTTTTCACAAATAAGGAACAAAGGCACTTCCGCGGCACCGGAATCACACGTCAGTTCCTACCGTCCCAGATTGCACCTGGGACATCAAAAAATGTATTCGTAAAAAAGAGCACGCCGAACCAGTCAATTGGATCGAATATACGCGAGTACAGTTTTTTCGATCGATCTGTTATCGATCTCCGCTATCGGTTCGACTCGGGTATTTTCATTTACTTAACATTTTTTTATATCTCATCCACAAGGATGATCCTCGGCAGATCAGAGAAAGACTCGGGCAACGAACTCGCGCAACAGACAACTAGGTGCAGAAAGCGGCAGACCGGGACTCCCAGCTCGGGTACCGTCCACCTGCTCGGTACGGGAACTGGCAGGTAGGGGGATCCGACTACATGGCTTGCCTGTACCAACTGTACACTTTTTACCCCCACCGTTGATCATCCAATGCCGAACAGCAGGCACGCTTTTACGAACTGTTATTTCATAAACGTTGCTTCAATTTACTAGACACAATACATGGACTTGCCGAACACGTTACTCGAATCCTAAGTAGATTAGTAAGATCGATTCAAATTTAGCATTTTGATAGACAACAAAGAAAAGTGATATAGAAAATTTTATTGTCAATCAATATTTACATTTGAAAATCTTAAATTAACTAACGCTGCATACGGTTAGAAATGAATGAAATTCAATGAAATTCAATCAATGAAAGAAATTTATCCGATCTTATAAAAAATTATATTGTTTCTTGCAAAAGAGAAATAGTGTGATTTCCTAGGGTATGAAATTTTTTTTCATTTTTAGGAATCCTGATAAAATTTTTTTTTGTCACGATTCAAAAAGACGTTTGGTTAAAATCGTCATTTCTGAAGCAATAGCACTTGTTATGCAATGTTTATATAGGGTGTAACGTGACGTAAATGGAACCGTGTTTCAACTCCTCGATTCTCTGGTTCACGCAATGCAGTTATTAAAGCCGTTACGTTCTACTGGATGTAAAACCAGAGTAAAGCCAGAGTGGAAGCAGACTAAGCACGTATGAGCGCACCCGATTATAAGCGTACCCATGCTTAACCGAATTGCACCAGAAATTCCCTAGTTACCGAGACGGCAATTCCAGCACGATCTCCAGTGACCTTTGCACTTACCAGTCATAACTGTTAACGAGAGACGAAAACATATCAGACTACCTCAAAACGTATTTGAGACGAGTCGTCGAGTTTTCGTCTTAGAAAAAAAAAATCCTATATAAATATATTTGAATATATTTTTTCGACACCCGTAATACATTTTCATCGTACCGCGATACATCAGAGATGACACTGTTTTCATCTGGCCACTTTCGACAAGTACGCTTGTCCTAGAATTTCGGATAGGATTTCCTTGGCTTAATATTTCACCAGGTTTAATGACGTTTAACCTGCCCAAAATAGATGGCTACTATTGCTGCTCTCTATGATGGTTCCCCCCCTTCTTCCCCTTCTCTACTTCCCTACTTCCCCTCCTTCTTCTGAATCCCTCAAGATCCTCCGGGGACTCTCGGGGATTCACAATGATCCCACTCTCTTCCGCGTCATGTAGCTCTCTCCGCAATTTCGCTTAACTGTAAAGTCCTCTGCTCGGACTTACCGCTCGTCGCCGACTTGGACCGTTGTGAACGCCACCGTCGCCTCTCGGTTCTTTCGGAACGAAGCAGCCGCGTTGGACGGAAGACTTAATGCAAGCAATTACGAGCCGATTAGAATAACTGGTTGACTGGTGGAAGAGGCATTTTTTTTTGACCCGGTCAATTTCTGTTTTTTTTATTGTTGATTTTTTTTTTTGAAAAAAAAAAAAATTCTTCGTCTTTTTTTTTATACCGTAATTCTCTTGGTATTTCTTATTACTGACACAAAACCTGTTTGCCATTCTTGCATAATCCATGGACCAGTATCATTTCGCGATTTTAACGTGGTTCTTTGTGCTCCTCGAAATTTCTGCAATCTTTGAGGAATTTTTAGTCGCGAATCTAAGGTCGATGATCAATAATCCTGTTGACTTTTGACCTGGTAGTGGAAATCATTATTTATTCTCTGGTCTTGGTACACGGAGCTCTAAGTCATTGAGAATGTCTCTGCAGCATCTTTGAAAACCAGTCTTAAGGACGAGACAGGATCTTACCGTAGCTCCAAAGAAGAAATTTTCTTATTCAACCTCTTTGCTGATATTCTCTTATAAAATTTCAGGACGACCGTTGGTCGTTCGGTTTGTTACAAAAATTAATTTAAAAAAATGTTTAACCCTAAAAGTACTATCGACGGGTCATTTGAACCTGTTAGAGCCAAGAAATATGTGTATAAAAATATTCGGTAGGTTTAGTGTTAATAAAAAAAAAAAGTACTTAAATATTTTATCTTCGTATAATTTTATATTGCAAAAAGAAGAAGTGAATATTTCTTTAATCGATAATCCTACGTGACAGCGACTGTTGATAAAAAAAATAATGAGCACGAAATAAAATTGAGAAGAAACTTAAACGTCTCTTAATTTTATTTCTATTTTCCTTCGAGCTTCTCCACGGGAAGAAATCTTTAATCCAAGAGAGATCGCAGGGTGCTCCAGATCCTTTGGCAATCGTACACGTGAGTCCTGGATAATAAGACAACGCATGGAGAAAATGCACGTCGTAAAATCTTTGCCGACTTGTGGTTTCTAAATGACGAATACGTCCAAGAAAGCAGCAGATCAAATAATAAAATGTCGAGAGGAAATTGCAAATCTCTTGGTTTTCCAACTGACACCAGGATGCATCCTGTAAAATCTAGGTTTACCTACATTCTACATATACGTGTAATATAAATCAGACGACCAATTTATTACGAAAAACAGTGCATGTGCATCAACGTTCGGACTCTGACAGTCAACCGTGATGACAGTATTGCACATGCACTATTGCATTTCGAAAAAAAATTTCGTGAACTAAAAATTTAAAAAAATGTCTCCCCCGCACGTGACTACGAAAAGGGAATAAAAAATATTTTGAAACAAAAAATTTTTTAAATATCGATTATAATTATAAATCAGTATTAAAAGTCATTAGGGTAGAAAATATAGTCTGCTATAATTATAACGGGTGATAAATAAAAAAAGTTTCATGACCTGCGGCCAGAGTAAAAATCGTCGAACGATTGTATTATTAAGTAAATAGTTGCTTGATCGTTGCAGCGTGATCGTTTAATGACTCTGATGATAAATTAATTACTTAATAATGCCGGTAATCAGATTTTACTTGAAATGGAAATTTATTAATTTTTTTATATTTTTTTTTGCGTTTGGTTATTCCTTCATATTTTCCTCTTAATACTTTCCGCAATGCATTATCATTTTTTTTCTATCATTTTTTTTTTACTGGTTACCAAGCCTACTAGCACGTGATCAGGGGCCCGCCGTTCAGTACGGTAATAAATATTTTCAAATAGCCGTCCGATATCAGGAACCTGCACCGTGGTCGAGCCTGTTCCCGTGGTCGTGCCTTCGGATGCTGGGCTCGCGATTGGTTGATAGTCAAAGACGTAAATACGTTTTGCATAACTTCTATCTTGTTGACGCGACTCTGAGGCCGTCCGGCAGCTTATAAAGTCAGGCCGATTCGAAACAGTCTTGTTATTCGAGTGAAAGAAAAGTTTGCGCGATGAAGGACGATCTTAAGGTAGTGCGAACATAGAATATTTGCACGTAAAAATGAAAATGGTTAATGACTTTTGAAAATGGGGAAAATTTTATTAATTATTTTTTAATTTCATTGTACCAGTACTTGTCAGGATTCGGTTGTGAATTCGCGAGCGAGGATGAACGTTGTCCTGGGTCGCTTCCGGTTGGTCAGAATAGTCCTCAAAAATGTCCATACGGTTTGTACGCCGAACAATTGTCCGGCACTGCTTTCACTGGTGAGTAAAAATTCGAAAAATTTTTAAGAAATTAATTTTTTGTTACAAAATTTTTTATTAAACTAGCGCCGCGTTTGGAAAATAAAAGATCCTGGCTTTATCGCATAAGGCCGTCCGTTACTCATGAACCGTTCGCTTTGCTCGAGGATGCTCGCGGAAGTCTCACTTGCAACTGGGATGAAATTCCGCCGAATCCAAATCAGGTAAATGATAAAAAAAATTTTTTCAAAAATTTTTAAATTTCAAAAAAAAATTTTACATAGCTTCATCTTCGATTTTACAGATGCGATGGAAGCCGTTTGACGTTCCAACGCGTCAAGATCCGGAAGTCGATTTTATTGACGGTTTACATGCGATTTGCGGCGCGGGTGATCCGCGCGTCCGTTCCGGAATTGCTATACATGTTTATCTATGCAATGCGTCCATGCATGACAAGGCCTTTCAAAATTCCGACGGAGATTTTCTTATCGGTAAATAAAATGACGAAAAAGTGTAACTTTCACTGGGCATAATTAATTTTAAAAAATTTGTTATCAGTACCGCAACTGGGAGCGTTACAGATAACCACGGAATTTGGAAAACTCCGCGTTGAACCAAATGAGATATTTGTAATACAGCAAGGCATGAGATTCTCCATTAACGTCTTTGGTCCATCCAGAGGATACATATTAGAAGTTTTTGACAATCACTTCCAGTTACCAAATTTGGGACCAATTGGTAATAATAAAAAATACCAAAATAACGATTGCCATTGAAGTTCACTAAAAGTTCATCTGTCATTTTTTCTTTTCTAATTTATACACAAAGGAGCAAACGGTCTTGCGAACCCACGTGACTTTCTGACCCCAGTCGCCTGGTACGAGGATCGTGAAATTCAATTCAAAATCGTTTCCAAGTATCAGGGCAGATTATTCTCCTGCCGCCAGGAGCACAGTCCTTTTGACGTAGTAGCCTGGCACGGGAATTACGTACCATATAAATACGACTTGGATCGTTTCATGGTGATAAATTCGGTATCCTTCGATCACTGTGTGAGTATCGAAATTTTGATGAATTTACGTGATATGAAAAAAAAATTTCATTTTCACGAACACGTCCGTATTCATCGTTTTTAGGATCCCTCAATCTTCACAGTCCTAACGTGTCCATCGTTGAAGCCAGGAACGGCTATAGCGGATTTCGTGATATTCCCACCGAGATGGTCAGTCCAAGAACACACGTTCCGGCCTCCTTACTACCACCGTGAGTAAATTTTGATGAAAAAAATTTTATTAAAAAAGCAAAAACGAAGGTTTCCAGCTTCTCTTGAGGATTCGCCTTAGAGAATTTAAGATGCCCATAATAATAATAACGTATAAATATAATACTACAATTCATTGAATCCATTACAGAATAAGAGGTTAAGGCGAATTTCCATAAAATTCCTTGAATTCTCTTATTACTCCGTCTCTCTTTCCTCTTTGATATTTCTATTTTCTTTCTAAACCGCTTAAGCGACTCGTTCGACCGGTAACCCGATGTCGTCGTTCCGGAAGACCGTCTCGGGAAATTGGCCTTTACTTAATCGAGAGAAAACTCCGAGTTTTCCACTGCATCCCCAATTCGTATTGTTAAAATGCGTCTGACTATGCAGACTGGAAAGTTCGCGAAACGTCGGCAATACGCTGAAATTCGAGCGAAAACCGTTCGGAAGACACAAATTTGACTGACGACTCCATTGAATTTTCGTAAACTTTACCATAAACTTCATAGTCCCACGTATCGTATTGGTATACGTACATGTTAAAAAAAGAAGGCAGTGCCCACATCAGGTTATCAGTTGTAGAATAAAAAATGAAACGGATAATGGTTGACTCGTATTTTATTATTTTGATAACCGTCGATAACGATACCGCCGAAAGGTCAAGGAACGACGAGCCGAGCACCGAATCTAATTATCGATCTGAACTGTCATTGTTGTTCAATAATGAACGAGTTTCCTTTCCACTTGCAGGTAACTGCATGAGCGAGTTCATGGGTCTTATTAAGGGTCGCTACGAGGCCAAGGAGGAGGGTTTCCAAGCGGGCGGCGCGTCGTTGCACTCGATGATGACACCTCATGGACCGGACGCACGTTGCTTCGAAGCGGCATCGAATTCAAAACTCGCGCCAGAACGTATCGCCGATGGGACTCAGGCTTTCATGTTCGAGTCCTCGTTGAGCCTGGCCGTGACCAATTGGGCTGAGAAGATTTGCCATAAATTGGACGAGGACTATTACAAATGCTGGAAAGGACTGGTGAAGCATTTCGATCCCAATTGGAAACCAGCTGACGAGCAATAGTATAAGATTTTAGTTTTATCCGCCATTAGTGTGTACATCGTATGCGATATAACTCCGTATAACTTTCTATATATATAAGATAGGGCCTAAGAACGAACGTTTCTCTAACCTGCCCAATCCGAAGGCCATTCGGATTCTCAGTCACGAGCGATGTGAACTGTTGCTTGCGGTTTCTGGTTCCGGTACGTTCGTGAGATTCTGTGCGAAAGTGGAAGCTTCTAGAAGTTTTTACTGTCGGTGTCAGTCGAAGCTGCTTGGTTAATATGGATCGTAGATGCGTTGGCCTCGAAGAGGATAAATAAGAATTTACTTATAGATTTAGACGCAATCGGGATGTATGTAGGTTAAATGGATTTTTTCGAAGTAAAGTCTGTTGTATTATAGGTTACGATGCTCGTTGTATACTTACGATAAAGTTACGGCAGCGTAAATTTTCTTATTATGTATACTGCTGTTTCCTCATCGCGCAAGAAACTTTGTTTTACGAATATTCTAATGGTTAGGTCCGATGGGAGCATAAGGCAAATGGGTCTTGCCACAGAAAGTCTAAGAAAGCCATTGCTGCACCGGTAAAATGCAACTACCGGGAATAAGTCATCGAGTTAATTGTTTCGACATTTTTTCTGTCATTGTAATACGAGGCTCGATGAAACGTCATCGTCTGTTTTGTCTGTATTTACAGAGGACGAAATCATTGCGCGAATTTAAATGTTGCTGGAATAGATTTAGTATGCGCTATTCCTGATTTCTGCCTTTGTTCTGTTCTGTTCTCGTTCACTTTTCACTGTGCTGGTCTTGCTTTTATTATTTTTTTGGTTGGGTTGAGCATGTTTCTTCGAGTAGTCATAAGAGGCTAGTTCATTCTGTTAGAGTGAACTATGGTGATGGGGGTTGCCCATCTGTTTCATCTGCTGAGCTTGCTCAGTGGGTCAGGCCCAGGTTGTGGTCGCAATATGGTCTCTCCGGACCGGCCTGACGGACCTCAGAGGGGTCTCCTTCGTGGAAAGATAGGATCTCTAGAAAATGGGCGGGGTGGGGCCCATTTCACAAAATTCTTTCTCTCCTTCTTCATTCTTTTTCCAACTTTGAAGATCCTTTTCTCTATTATCTTCAACGCTTTCCTTCGTCCAACCGATCATCAAAAGACTAACTTTGAACGGCATACTGGTTTATTCTCATTGTCAGATTTTCAGTATGTTTAATTCTATATGAGATTTTTCTAAAGGCTAATTAGAACTAGAAAAACGTAGCTTACGACTAATAGGTGGCTTGTGATTGTGAATCTTTAAGATTAATATTTCCGTAGATGGCGATACTGTTAAGGAAATGATAAGATAAAGTCTCTTGTAAAACTTTTTGTTTTACCGACCGAGGCCCTAATAAACCACGGCATATCTGGTAAAAGGTTTAATCTACTTTCAGTCGATGTCTTCACTTCGGTTTCTTCCTTATCGACAACTGAGAAGTAGATTACATAGCGGTGTAGTCTATGTTGGAAATATACGTACCTGTAATTTGAGCCATAGTCCTTCTGGTATGCTTACCGCAGATGGCACCACTGTCAAGAAACTTGAAATTCAAAAATTCAGTGGCCTCTCGGACCGAAACAAACCTCGTTAAAATGATTATTCCACTCAACAATACGCACATGAAAATGTTTCGGTCTGTCGCCTGGCTACGAGCACTGTTTATTCGATTCAGTTTGGAAAAGCCGAACGCCTCATGAAGGCGTCTCAAAAAATTCAAGTAACACACCAACAACACTAAGATGTTTTCCCGAGCCGCAAAATCCGTCGTTAAATCTCTTGGACAGCGAAAATATCATGTCGGCGAAAATACTCTCAAGGTGAAGTTAAACAAATTTCCCAAAAAAAAAATATATATTTTAACGAAGAAAAATTAGTAACAGTATTATCCATCGTAACTCCTTGAATATCTTTTTAAATGTGTTTTCTTCTAAATATCTATAAAAAAGAAAATCTTTAAATCCCTTCTAGACGACGGTCGTAAAAGCTGCCGGAGGAATCGGACAAAATATTTCGCAGCTTCTGAAAGAAACTACAAGATTGAATCAGCTAAGCGTTTACGATGTCGCCAGGACCAGTTTACCAGGAACACCGTCAAAAATATCCTCGATAAAGTCAAAGGATCAAATTTTACAATCACAGGTATGACATTCTTTAATTTTTATCCTTCATAATTTCTCCTGCTACTTTTCCTCCGTATCTAATCAGAAATGTACACTTTTTTTTTTTTTTTTTTTATTACTCACTACAAAGAACAACCAAAGTCCTTCCTCGCTTTCCACGCAAAAGTTATTGCCTTCAGGATTGGCAGTGGTTCCAGTTAACAATCGGAAGAGCGAATCTCTCCCTTCGGTCGTAACCATGAACCAAGAAAGTCTGATGTCCTACTTTACGACTTGTGAACTGGAAACAGATAGGGTACGATTCTTGTACTAATTGTCCCTCTTGTTTTTGGGAATAGCCCCTAATACCCAGAGTGCCAATTAGGAAAGTTTAGGGACAATGGAAATATCGTTAAACTGTTCTTACAGGCGATACCGAAACTCGACCCACTAAGTTCAGAAATGGCTGCTGAGATAACGAGTGAAGGGATCACTGGGAATTCGAGTATTCGACAATTCACAAATTCCCCATCATTGCCAACGGTAAAATTAATTTGATCGGCCGTAAGAAAAAATTTTTCAAAAATCATTTTCACGTAGATTGGATCCAGTGGACTAGTGGAGGGTCTGGCGAAATATAAAAATTTGAAAAATTCACTGAACGCCACGAATTCTTCTATGGGAAATTGGAAAGAGGTATTAAAATTTCATTTTTCGAATTTTTTATTTTATGGCTATTTTTTTTGTGTGACTTGGTTCAATTCCATAATCCGCATGGTTCATCCTTGCGCAATTTATCTCGGAAGTATCCTGGGGTTTGAGGATCCTTCAGGATCCTGGTGGAGTGGTAATAAGAGAATGAACCCTGTCCATAGGGGAGGTCAACGTTCTGCCTAAGTCACACCCTTGTTCATGAGGATTCAGGATGTCATTCAGGACAAGATACCGAGGTCCTAGCGAGTCCTTGTATCCAGGACCTTATTGCCACTCTACCAGCGTCTGGTAGAAATTTTGTTTCAACTATAAATAATCCTGAGGATCCTGAGAGGAACGATAGTCCTCTGTGGGTACCTGGAAATTTATCAAGAATATTAAAGGATCCTAGATTACATGAATTGAATCAGTATCTTCAAAGATGTCAAAGTCCTGATGAAGATCCTTACTTATTTAGACTTCTTCAAAATGCCAGGATACCCAGGACTGCTTTGTCAGAGATATTAAAATTTTATGAGCAACCAGAAACGGCAAGAGGGAGAAAGGATGTTGAGAATGATTTTTCGACAAGATCCATATATCCTGTAGATTTTTTACTTCGTCAAGGATCAAGGGACGTAAATAAAAAGGATCACGGAGTGTCGTTAAAAAAGGAAGAAGATCGAATTTTGCCAAAAATTCAAATAAAGTCAAATAAGAGCAGCCTGATGTGTCTTCGAAAAGATCAGAGTGATCTAAGGATATTATCAGTTTTTGATATCCTGGAAAATATTGGGCAACGCTATAATAATTTATTGAGACAAAATCTTTGTAAATCCTTATCCACCATGTTGAGAAGCTGCTCGAGATTTTTGGAAGATCTTGCTCGGCATTTTTCAGAAACTGATCTTGCTGTTGGGTCCAGTTCAACCAGACAGAGTAATCTTGGAAATATTATCAAGGGTCATGAACCTTGTAGCTTTCAACCAATTTTTGGATTATTTGAGAATTTTTGGAAAAAAGTAAAAATCATTGCTGACAGTGTTACTCTGGTTGTCTTTGAAGGATCTTCGAACTTCGGGAATGATAAAGGATCAAGGAGCAGCCTGGGTGGTTCGAAGGATAATCATGCTTTTGAATGGCTCTCAAAATGGACCACAGACGGGATACGTGATCTGTCGAAAAAAGTGGAACGCGTCATAACGTCCCTGGAGGACAGATTACGCAGATAATATAATTTAAAAAATTTTGAACGAAACGAGCCAAAATTATAAAAATTTTTCGAATGACCTTGCGTATCCGTGTGTCCTCAGGAGGCTCATAACTGGAGCAGTATACGTGCCTCGCCCAGAGTCCTTGGAGAAATGGGTCCTTCGAGAAATTCTTATCAAAATGCCAAACAAGAACTACTGAAGATGCTACCCGAATCAAAAGATGTAAATAGAGATTTCTCATCCACGAAAAAGAAGAGGAAGCGGAAGTGCGTCAAGAGGAAACTGAAGAAGCAAGTTGAAGAGAAAATCGAAAATTGTTCAATGGTCGTACAAGCTCAGTCCAAAAAGGTTTCCCCGCGTGAACGAAAATCAAAACCGTATATCCCTAAGGGTATAAATGATAAAACTATTAATAAGGGAGACTGGATGTTGCCAGCTATCTTTGATAACAGAAAACCAGTTTTTTTGCACAATTTTGAAGGAGGTGAAAATATCGTGCGATGTGGAGTCACAATGATAACGCAACCTCCAGATCAGTATAATTTTAACGAAACGAAAAAATTTAAAAGACAAAGAGATAAGGTGATAAAGAAAAAAAGTGTTGGAAAGATTTCCAAAAAATTATGTGAATCTAAAGGGGATATTGAAATTGATAATAAAATTAGGTCGGTACATGTCAGTCATGATAATATTCCAGTAGAAAAGATGGACTGTGGAGTTCAGATGAATTTTGAAAATGTGCACTTTGATAAGGAAGACTCGAAGTCTTTGGAAGAATTCCCGAAGCTGGAAACGAGTTACGATAAAAGTTTTCCAATAATTTTGAAAGTTGAAAGAGAAGAATCCGAGTTAGATATACTGACAGATGATAAATTCGAATCTGTATCGACCGAAGAAATTTTCAAAATTGATAAAAAAATAAAAAATAACGATAACCCATTTTCATCGAAGCATCCATCGATATCTACAATGAATTCGTACCACATTGATGATTTGTACGAAGATCGAGAATTTAGGAATGATCCAATGGAATCGAATGATCTATATCTGGCAGGGAAGGAGGAGGACACGAGATCAAAGTGCAATAAAATGATTGAAGATTATTGTAAGAATAAAAGAAGCGGGGAGAAAGGCAACGAGAAGGATTCGTGCAAGAAAGAAAAGAAAATAAAGAAGAAGAAGGAGGATCCATGTAAGAAAAAGGAAGACCCTTGCAAAAAATCAAGAAAGAAAGATCCTTGCGAGAAGGAAAGAAAGACTAAAGATCCTTGCAAGAAGGAGAAGAAAGAGAAGAAAAAATCAAGAGAAGACTGTCCCGATATTAAAAAGATCGAACCGTGCAAAAAGAAAAAATGTCCGCCAGTCATCAAGGCGCCTCCGTGCCCAGAAAAGAGTAAAAAGGACAAAAAAGATTGTTCAGGGTGCATCAGTTTTTTTTCGGAATTGCATTTTCAAAACGAATTAAACCAAACGCCAAGACACGCTGTGGACAACGATTCGATAATTCAAAATCGCAATATTCTTTACGATGGGCATCATGCTAAATTGAATTTGCATAGTAAATCATCAAAATGGGATACCTGGACAGTTTCGCGTATAGCAGAAAATCGTAGTCTCGACATTTTTGGTATTTTGGAAAACGAGGTGTAAAATATCTAGACAAAATAAGCGAATATTAATTTTACATGAACAATGTTCCAACTTTGTAAAATTTATTGTGAAAAGTTCTCAACTCGTCATAGATACTGTATACGATAATATGTCAGTCAATAAATGTTTATATAAAAATCACAGTATATATAGAATTCAAAATTTGGAAAATCATACAAAAAAATGTCATAATTTTGACAAAATTTTTGGATTTCACCGGATTTCAAAAAATCAACAACATAACCTCGATCGCCATTCAATGCTAAGTTACAACAATTTTTTTCTACTAATTTAAAATTTTCCAAAAGACCCTTTCCAAAGGATCGCACCTAATGACGGTAATCTTCTTAAACAGAATGAAAAGCTGGTCGTGGCCGATTCCCAATATTCCGAAAAGACTCCAAGAACGGTCCTGATGCAGGAGCCTGGTGATAGAGTGCGTAACGATGACTATTTCCCACTGGGCGAGGAGTACGAGGACGAGATCGGTACCGACGATCACGGCCTGTCGCGTGGAAATCGGTCAGGCAGATCGCAAGACCGAAAGATGGAGGAGGACTACGACAACATGATCCCGATCAGCCTGAGCGACAAGAGAGGACTGGAGAGTGGGAGAGAGAAATCCGTGCTGTTCGTAAGGACCAATCCCTGGACAGGTACCATCCTGGATAAGGACATCACGGAGAAGGACACCTGGGAGAGGCTGCAGACGCTTATCGATAAGGTAGCAGAATTTAAGCGACGAGTTTTTCGTACGCGAAAGGTCGAGGAGCAGGTAGGGACTAAGATGGAAACTAGAAAAGAGAGCGCGGATAATAAGACAGGATCAACGGGAGAGAATCAGGAACGGGTAGTAGCGACATTGTGATTTTATTTGGTTGATGGGAAGTTCGGTCGACTCTTTTCTTCGTGTTCCCTGAGGGAGGTGGATATATACCAGGGCACTGGATGGGTGTAGACGGTGATCTGGGTATATATCTGTATTGTGTACCGCAGGCAGTGCAGAGCAGCAAGGGTCTGAGACTTGGTGAACCAGACTGCGGAGAAGGTCGACCCGAGAGGCCAAAAAGGGGACCCTGCCATCCGCCCGATGGTCCATGCACTCCACTACCGCCACCTGGTTACCCGTGCAAACCCAGACCAGAGAAGAAGCCCTTCTGCGTGAAGTGCCCGCCGAAGAAACCATGCAACCCGAGAACATGCCAGTCAGAGACAGAGGGTACGTGGACTGGAGGGGACGTGGAGGGATCTGTATTGAAATTGTATTGTAAACCGCAGGCAGCGCCTGAGGCGGTCGGACCTAGAACATGCGGACAGATCTTAGGATCGTACGGGACAGCTTCCGGTGAGAGACCAGAATTTCGAATTTGGAAGGTGGATGGTCTTTGCTGCGGTGGTGAAAAGCCTTGGGGACTTCTGGCGACGAGGAACAAAAGAGGGTGGCTCTTTTCGGTACAACGTGGGTACGCAAGTCGATGGGGAGGTAGAGGGAAAGGATCATCTTCCGGAAAATGTCCTCCAGGTTCATCAAAACCACCACCGACCGTGGCCCCGGCGCCGTGTCCCGAAGTCGCGAAGAAGAGAAAGAAGGTACAGTGTCACGAAGAGAAAAAGCAGAGTCCTTGTAGACCGGGTCCTAAGCCATGCCCGCCACCTCCAAAGTGCGTACCGCCACCTCCACCATGCTGCCGACCAAGACCGCCGAATCCAAAATGTCCATGCGGACCACCTCCACCCTGTCCTCCTCCTTGTCCCTGTCCATGTCCTCCTAAGCCAGTCGCGCCACCTCCACCTAAAATATGCTACATGAAATGTCCACCTCCGCCTAAATTGCCAAGATTGCCAAAATGCATAGCACCTCCACCGCCACCGAAGCCACCACCACTGCCCAAACTACCAAAGCGACCCAAGTGTCCACCTCCTTGCCCACCTCCATGCCCACCACCTCTGCCGAAGTGTCCGAAATGTCCACCTATGCCGCCGCCATGCCCGCCGTGTCCGCCGCCGCCACCCTGCGAACCATGCCCGTGCCCACCACCATGCCCACCTCCATGCTGTCCACCTCCGCCACCATGCCCACCTTGTCCACCTCAGAAGGAATGTCCCACGCCTCTTCCGTGTCCTCCACCACCACCACCTCCCGTATGCCCGCCGTGTCCGCCTTGTCCACCGTGCCCGAAACCCAAACCCTGTCCGCCAACACCTCCATGCTGTCCATGCCCATGCCCACCTCCACCACCTCCGTGTCCTTGTCCACCGCCGTGTCCTCCACCTCCAGCAGCACAACAGCCATCGGAATGCCCGAAGCACGTTAAGTCGTGTCCACCGTCTGGCAAAAAGGCAACCAAGTCCCGGAAGAATGACAAGACCAACAAGCGCAAAATGTCGACCTACCAACGTCCTACCGATTCGCTAAACAATTCCCTGAAGGAAATCCAAATTGGCAAACCCGGAGAGCAATCAGCAATGAAAAAACACACGAGACACTTCAAAACAGCCTGTTTCTCTTTATTTTCGTCGTCCGGAGACTGTAAGACAACTGACGAGATTTGTGCCGAAAAAAAAAAGAAATCGTGTCCTACGGAAACCTGTAGTAACGCACAGTCACAGGGAGGATGTTACCCGGAAAAGGAGGTGTGCCCGAAGAAAAAAAGTAAAAAGAAAGACAGATGCCTCGAAGCACTAAAAAAGTGTCCCGGTTGTTTGCCGGTTGGAAAGTGCGTACAGCCACCTCAAGCGCAAGTAGAGAAAATAACGTACGAGCCGCCGATCTGTCCACCTCCAAAATTTGCACCGCCCACCCCCTGTCCACCCTTGACCGATATCAACAAAATGGACGTTTGCACCGAGCACGTTAACCAAAAACCGGTTTGTCCGCCACCTCCGCCAATGCCAAAACCACCTTGCGCACCCGTCATGCTCTGTCCGTGTCCACCTCCACCGAAACTCCCGCCAGGACCATGCCCGTGTTCGATATCTCTAACGGAAAGGGAACCACTGCCACCTTCTACGCCATGTCCTGCAAAGCCGAAATATCCCTGCCCAGAGAAAAATATTCAATGTGATCTCGACAACGTGAATATGATCTGCAACAAGAAATCCAAGAAGTCCCGCAGGAAGGACAGGAAGAGTAAAAGCAAATCGCAATAATAATATAAAAAAAATTGTCATGGCCCATGGCTCGGGAAAACCAACCATAGCAATACAGAAAATTCAAGGCTTCCTCGTGATAAATAAATGCAACTCAGAGTATTTTAATTTTTTGCAAAATTTCTTCAATACTTATTTAACATGATTTATCAATAACGGAGAAAAAAATATATTTATTCGAAATCATAGGGAATTTAATAATTCCCATAATTGCATAACAAGACCCATCCATGCGAGCTATGAAATTGGTATATGAATGCCTCGTTACAATAATACCAACATTTATATACGGGTAGGGGAGGTTATCATAAGACAGTAAGTGTAGTGGTAGCAGGGGAACGGCGGCTGCCAGGAAGGAGGGCTGTTATCATTTTATTATTGCAAGGGTGAGCACCCTTGATCCAACGATAGAGACTGCGAAGACGTCATTTTAGCTTTACTTTCCATTGTGCCCGCCCACATAACGTAGACCATGTGAAATAAAGAGGACCTCCGGGTTAAGGGCCTCTTTCCCAAGATATAATTCCTGTTTCCGGTCGATTCGTCGATTCGACGCGACGATCTACATTCCGCGAATGAATATCCTCATGCGTTTTTACGATCAGGTGCGGAAACAGTAAATTTTTATTAGGGTGCCAGTACTGGGGAATCGTTCACGGTACCCAGATAACGCAGGGACTCATGAAGAATCGAAGCAAAAGAATCAAAGTTGCGAGAGATTAAAAATTTTTTTTATTAAATTCCAAAAATTAAAAAATATCAAAAAAGCAATATACTAACAAAAAATTTCAAAAAATTTTTTGTTATCTTTCATCGATCGACCCTAGGGAATTTTTCTTACCTATACAAGGACTTTAATCGTGGAAGTCGATAAAATCCCTAGAATCTGGTGAACACTCAGGATAGCCAACGCGAAAGGCACGGGATGGATAAACTTTGAAGCGACTGTCCCCGGAGTTAATGCATAATTCAAGAATCGTCACCAGCGAGGATATTGCCAATTTGGCGTCGATGAAAACACGATCGGATTTGTCGTCTGCTAGAATGGACCACGGGACCGTGTATATCCAGTGAATTTAACACCTTCCCTTCCTTCAGGACAGTCCTGGAATATATTACAGATCCTCATGCCCTCTTCCATTTTCCATTATACGCTTTGTCCTTCGAATTTAATACTTTAATGAGAACCAGCCTTATTATTTTTTTAATAATTCTCAAATCCAGCGTCGACGTCATCGTGTCGATTTTAAAATTCAGTCGATACCTCGAATGACTCATTCGATTCTTTGGAGTTAGCGTGACGTCACTGTACGTTTCCGGTAAACCGCATCCTTCATCCCAGCCTTGACACGGCTCTTTGATATTGATTGATGAAAGATTATCGGACGTTCTATCTGGTTTCGCGGTGAAAATTCGTAAAAGCGAACGTGACGCTAGTCATTTGTAAATACAAATATATATATATATATACATACACCACTACGTATATATGCTGGCTAGAGGAGCGAGAGAGGACCGGTGGGCATAGGCGGTTGGGAGGATCATCCGGGTTCTGGCGATTTTCCATGGCCACGGGGGAACCCCCGATGAAATATTTATAACCGAGGAGGTCCGGAGCGGCGGTCGCCAGGGGGTGAAACCGATGAAAAGAATAAATTGGAATCGATTCAATTTGTCAACACGCGCGTAATTATGTTATTATGCGCTCGAAGAGGGCTGGCTGGCTGACTGGCCAGCTCTAGCTGTCTACTCCATAAGTCGGCTGACTGGCTGGATTGGATATATCGTAGGTGGATGGGTGGCAAAAGATTACGTAGACGCCTCAGCCATCAATAACCCATAAAAACGAGCCGACAAGAGCTTGGTCAGCCATGGCGAAGCGAAACGGAAGAAAGACACGCCATGAGAAAAAGGCAGTTAGCCGGGAGGATGATCGTGAATTATGATTTTATAGGTTATATCGTAAAGGTCAGAAATCACGTGGTGATCTGATTGGACTCGATCGGATCGAAGTCCTGGATATTTTCATTAAAATTGCCTATCACGGCTCGTATATGACGCACGATATCGATACCCGTTCGAGGTTAAAATTGTATTGGAGATCGATCGATCTTCGATCACTTATAATTTAGTAAAAATATCGTTGTGAAAAAAATTGAGTTGAATTATAAAAAAAAAAATTTTTTTTCAAAAATCATTTTTGTATCCTTTTCTACTAGTGACTTTTTTTATCTTCTAGTTTCTTTTTTTTCAGACTAGTGAATTTTTCGTCCGAGTGAAAGAGACACGGCTGAAAAAGAAAGCTTTGGTACGTTTGCAAATTTATTCGCGGTAGACGCTCCGTGACTTGGCCACCGGCACTAGGAAGGCGGGAAGGGACCAGATTTATGAGACCGGATGCGCAAATACGGTAAAACTTCCCCGTTTCCGGTCTGGCGAAAACTTTTCCAGGATTTCTAACCCCGCTCTTCTCTTCCTTATCGCGAAAGCATTGTCCTTCCTTATGCATCTAACGGAGGCGACTTCGGTACCAGGATCTTCAACCCCTGTGGACCAGTATCTCACCGATGCGCCCTTTGCAGGAAGGTACCCTAAGGCATTTTTAAGGGTAGTTACACAACAATAATCCAACTACTAAAAAAAACATACAAAAATTCGTTAAAACCTCTCAAAAGAAAATCTAATGAATTTTCTCCTCCGTTTTGAGGGTTCCTAAAGGCACAGATACCAATTCGTCCGAAAGGGGATGAAATTAGATTTCCCGAATCCTCTAGGAAGGGTATAAGCGCAGACAAATGTCCCGTTCTCCCATATCCGTTAGGGGGGTGCCAGATAGTGTCCGACGTTCTTATTTTTCTTCTCTCGTCGAGGGTACCGAGTCTCCGGGAAATGGGGTTGTTTATACAGGGGTTCTCAAATCATGACGACCAACCCAAACATATCGATTCCACCAAATCATAAAAGATATCGGTAGTTCCGCAAAGGAGGTTAGTTTCGATCGGGCAGACAGTTCACAGAGTGTTCCAGGGGTCGTAGCGATCTACGATTTCAGAATCGCCAAAGAGTACAAATTTCAAGAGGGTTCTGAAAGCTCACAATCGACAAGCCCTTCCCTATAGAATCCTCACTGACGTACCTACGAATCCGCCGCCCCCCGCCCATAAGTCACCCCATCACCACCCGCGACCCTAAATTTCTCATCCCTCGGCCACTTGGCTGCCGGTGAACGCACGCTGAGAGCAGCCCCCCCCCCCTACTCGATTTAACGGTTACGTATAGCGAACCTCCCCCTGTCATTATTCCGCGCCCTTACGACCCTTCAAAACAATTGCCAAGCGGTAGTAAATGTATTAAGCGCGTCTCGACTTTATCCCACCGACTCTCCACGAGTCACTCGCAAGGGTAACTCCCTGCAAGGACCCTCGAAAGGAGGTCCTCGACACTCCCGCTTGGTGCCGTGAGACTAAATCTTTCATTTCCTTTATCCTTCCTTCAAACTCTCATGAGACCTACCACTGTTACCACTCGACGCACGTAAACTTTCGTTACACCCGTTATACGGGGCGTACCGTTAATTTTTGGCTTATACTGTACTCCCATATAACTAACGAGCGATTCCGCAGGAGGGCGTGATGAAAAAAAGTGCCGATCCAGTCACGCTTCATTGACTTCGAGTTAACCCCTTGACATTTAACCCGATAATTACCGATACGTCACCCACGTAATAATCCGTAGGTCCATTTCAGTCTCCGCGTATCCCACCACCCTTATTCACGGTATATAGATATATCAACACTGCACACCCTGTATATGCATATATATACCCAGTGCACGGTCGTATCTATATACAGCATCCAATGGCTCCAGGATTCCCAGCGGACATTGCGCGGACCCGTGATTTTCTGATTAGCAGCGGGTCGACTGGCTGCGGTTAACCGTTGTTAGGTTGTACCCGATTGGTATGCATGGGCTGGGATTCGATGCTGGGATCCCAACCCCTAAGCACCGCCATCGTCGGGTAAACCAACCCCCGTCGGTCCAGAGGATCGGAGAGAGTGGTGCAGGGAGGGGGGATGAAAAATATTTGTAAAAAAGTTGAGATCAAAATTTGACTATTTTTTTCACGATTTCCCATAAATTCACCGTAACCACCCTTACTGCCAAATGGCGAACGCTACCTTCCCTTGTGTTGCTTGGTACCGTTTTTCTTCTTTACTTTTAACCATACACTTGCATCCCTTATTTTTTGGACCACTGACCTCTCGAGAAACCAAGCTGATCAGTTCTTCTGCGCTTGACTTCGGTTTGACACTCACCCTGTGCAACCCTTATTTTTTTTCTTTTCTATATGGTCAGGGTATATATGTATATACAGTGTCTAGTACCACGTCTTTCGTAATGACCCTTAACTTATGTGTACCGATTCACTGTGTGTATATATATATATATATATATATATATATATATTCATATATAAAAAAAGAAAGAACAGTCAACGCTAGGGGGTTGCAATTTCCCATGGATAATGGTACTTTGATTACCCCATGACGCCGTGAGTCTTGTCAAGTACCCGAGTGAACCCATAGGGGGGCCAAGGGGGGGTGCTTAAAAAAAGTACCATACACAGGGTGTACCGCCATAGTAACGATACCCACTGCCCATTGTACATTGAACACCGTAAAAAGGTGGCCGCGTTTATTTCGTCACACCCGTTATAACGCAATACACATCGTAACTCGTATCAACCCTTACGGGGCCGGCCCAGTCATTACGCACTCGGGGTTAAATACACTATCGAGCGATTTTCATTGATTGCGTAACTATTCACCATTCGCTATACCAATGACCCTTGAACATGCAACTGGTTGCGAAGCCATTTGCTGCCAATTTGAATGGATTTAATTTGCCGTTATTATTATTGTTATCGCGGCTCGAAATTTTAAGAGCGAAAAAGGGCATTAGTCGAGCTACCTTTTTTTTTCATGAAAACGTTACTCGATCTCTGACGCCGACAGTGTTCGTAATTACAGTCAAGTGTCAGGGTGCAGCATTTTTTTTTTACTCTCGACAAAGTGACAAATGTATGATAATTAATTTTCGATATATATATATATAGAGAT